AGTAGACCCACCCCCTGGTGCTGTGCCTGGTGAGGTAGCTGTAGCCTCAGGTGCTGCTAGAGGTGCTGAGCCTGGGGGTGCTGAGCCTGGGGGTGCTGAGACTGGGGGTGCTGAGCTTGGGGGTGCCGAGACTGGGGGTGCTGAGCCTGGGGGTGCTGAGACTGGCGGTGCTGAGCCTGGGGGTGCTGAGCCTGAGGGTGTTGAGCCTGGGGGTGCTGAGTCGGAGGGTGTGGAGTGTGTGGGTGCTGAGTCTCAGGGTGCTGCTTCGTCTGGAGGTTCTACTGGTACGTCTCCGCAGCAGCTGCGTGAGTGGCTTGTTCGACGCGCACGCCTTCGGAATGGAGTTACCGGAGCTACAGGTGCTGGAGCCGCTGGAGCTGGAGGTGCTGGCGTTACTGCTGGAGCTTGTGTTCCTGGAGGTACTGCTGCTACTGGTCCTGGAGGTGCTCGTACCCAGGGTACTGGAGCTGCCGGGACTGGTGGTGTTGGGGGCGCTGGAGCTGGAGACCATGCGGAGTCTGGAGCTGCTGGAGCTGGAGGCTTTGGCGCTGGTGGCGTTGGAGCTGGAGGAGCTGGAGTTGGAGGCACTGGCGCGGGAGGCGCTGGAGCTGGAGTTGCTGGAGCTGTTGACCCTGGAGGCACTGTGCGGCCGCGACCGTACTTCGTTCCCCTGCTTCAGCGGGTTCTTGGTGTTCCGTCTTCTACTGGCCTTACTCCTCCCTTCATGTGTCCACCGCCTCACCAGTCGCAGCCGTCGTTACAGCCATCATCCCCACTACCTGCTCCCTCTCCTTACACTGAGCAGACCGGCGGTCTTACAGAGCATCGTGAGCCTGCGTCTCGTCCTACCTCCCCTGTTCGCACTGGTCGTCGCGTTCCTCGTCCGCATCCTCCTTCTGTCCCGGGCACACACGCCATGACACTTCGTCCTTCCTCTGTTCCACTGCGTTTTCCTCTGCCTGCTCCTCCTGAGTCCTCTCTTCCTTAGGTCCCTGACCCTGAGTCTGACCGCGCTCTTGCTACCAGACCCACTGTCTCTCGTCTCCTTGCCATTGCTGTCACTGACCCTTCCTTTGAGTCTGCTGCTGCGTCTGCCCTCGTTGCTGAGCTGCTTGACTTTGCTACTGCCTGTCGTCTAGACTACGCCACTGCTCTTGTTACTGAGTCTGCTTCTGCCAGTCATCCGTCCGTCGGGGGTGAATGTGCTCTTGGCACGGACGTCCTTGAGGACAGGCAGGAGGACTTTGAGTGTCTTGCAGCTGCTGTACCTCGTTTCGCTTCCATGCTGCTTGCCCCTGAGGGAGACCCGGATGCACCAGACATCCCGACCCCGCGCTCTTTTGCAGAGGCGATTACGGGTCCTTACTCCTCTCAGTGGCAGGCAGCCATGGATGCCGAGATGGCATCCTGGAAGTCCACAGGCACCTACGTCGGCGAGGTTCCCCCACCTGGGGCGAACATAGTCGATGGCATGTGGATTTTCAGGGTGAAGCAGCCGCCGGGTTCTCTGCCTGCCTTCAAGGCGCGTTACGTTGCTCGAGGCTTCAGTAAGTGACAGGGGGTTGACTACTTCCGGACCTTCTCCCCCACCTCGAAGATGACTATTCTTTGGGTGTTGCTTCACGTCGCTGCTCAGCGTAACTACGACTTGCACTCTCTGGACTTTAGCACAGCTTTCTTGCAGGGCAGCCTGCACGAGGAGATCTGGCTGCGCCGCCCACCTGGCTTCACTGGGTCGTTTTCTGCAGGTTCCCAGTGGAGCCTCCGTCGGCCAGTCTACGGTCTCCGCCAGGCGCCTCGTGAGTGGCACGACACACTCAGGACTACACTTGCCGCTCTTGGGTTTGCTCCTTGGACTGCTGACCCGTCGTTGTTTCTACGCACCGACACGTCGATGCCGCCATTCTACGTCCTCGTGTACGTCGACGACCTCGTCTTTGCCACTGCTGACACTGAGGCACTGACCCTTGTGAAGTCGGAGCTGCAGAAGAGGCACACCTGCACTGACCTGGGTGAACTGCGCAGCTATCTTGGCTTGAAGATCACCCGGGACAGAGCACGGCGCACCATCACCCTGACTCAGTCACACATGGTGCACCAGGTCCTTCAGCGCTTCGGCTTCCAGTTCTCCTCGCCACAGCCCACTCCTCTGTCTACCAGCCACTCGCTCTCAGCTCCACCTTCGGACGAGTCCATAGAGCCGAGTGGTCCGTACTTAGAGCTTGTGGGTTGCCTCATGTACCTCATGACGTGCACATGACCTGACCTCACGTACCCTCTCAGCCTTCTGGCTCGCTACGTGGCTCCCAGTAGGCACCGAAAGGTGCACTGGGATGCTGCGAAGAGGGTACTGCGTTACTTGTGCAATACGTCGGGCATGGGGCTCGTGCTTGGAGGACGGGGTCCAGTTGTCCTCACTGGTCACGCAGACGCTTCTTGGGTTGACGACTCAGCTACGCAGCGGTCGTTACAGGGTTACTTCAGCCTTGGTTTAGGCTGTGTTTCCTGGCGGTCTACCCGCTCGTCTTCGGTTCTCAGCTCCAGCTGTGAGGCTGAGATCTACGCAGGGGCCATGGCTGCACAGGAGCTACGCTGGCTCACCTACCTGCTGACTGACTTGGGAGAGCAGCCTCGTTCGCCTCCAGTTTTGTACGTAGACAACAAGGCCATGATTGCCTTGTGTCAGGAGCACAGACTGGAGCACAAAACGAAGCACATCGCTCTGCGATAATTCCTTGCTCAAGAGCTGCAGCAGCGTGGCCAACTTCATCTTGCGTACGTGGCCACTAGGGCCAACACTGCTGATATATTCACCAAGGCACTTTCGCCTGGTGATCATCAGCGCTTCTCTACTGTGTTAGGCCTTGTGCCTACTTTGCCTCACCTTATCACTGCTTGACTCTGCTTGTACTGTGATCTATATATATACTTACATGCTTGCACTTGCTAGGGTATGATCACTGTATTGTTTGTTCTCTTCTATATAACTCTACATGTGAACTGGCCTTGTGGCCCTTTGCTTGTGCTCGGACTGTGTAGTGACTTTGTGATCCACCCCTAGCTTGCTTTGCTTTTCTTGACTGGTCTTGTGACCACTTGTTTTCCCCCACTTTGCCTATGGGGGTGTGTCAAACTTATATATAGATAATCTTGTGTAGGCTGTAGTGGGGTAGCCCATAAGGGGCACAACCTAATTAGGGTGAGTACTTGTACCCAACTCTTTCATAGTTCATTCATTGTCGTTCATTATTCTGACAGGGCGGTGTAGGAGCCGCGCGAGCGAAAGTAGGGCGAGCGACGGGCAGGAAACCGTCGTTCACCACCCCTGCCACCCCCAAACCCTCCCCCCTCTGACTGCACGATCAGCAGGGGGATGGAGGAGAAGGGGGGGGCGGGGGGGGGGGGGGGGGGCGGTGTAGGGGCTGTGCGGGCAACAGCAGGTCGCGCGACGAGCAGGCGCACGACGGGCACGAAATCGACGCACGCCCGGGGTGCACGATGGGCAGAGAACCGACGCACGCCCGGGGCGCGCGACGGGCAGTAGAGTGACGCATTAGGAGTGAAGGGTGGGCCCAATGAGGCATGTCCAGAATCGGAACTCACTCTGATAGCATGTTAAAATACTTAGCACCTAGGAAACTAGGATTAGGCTTAGGAGGAATAGGTTGAGGCTAAGCATGAATGTCGAGAGAGAAGGTGTTTCACCATTGAGCAAGGTAGAAGATATAGGAAGGAGAAAGCCACATGGTACACCACCTAGAGCAAGTGAGATACACTACAGTCTACACTACAGACAGTTATAAAGAATATATAAGTATATTCTAACAGAGCAGGGGGCGTAGGGGGTTCAGGTGGCACTGGAGGCGCTGCTGGCTCACGGGTATACCACGCGTCGTCGGTAAGTCGCCACGGGCGAGCTGATTTTTCTTGAAGAGGAAGTGTGTCCCGCTGAATTCCGCCATGGCTTCGCCAGCCAGGCGGCCTAGACTGGAATTTGAATGAAAAAAAAAAATGAGCAAGAGGGTGCACAAATTGGCAACGAAGGGGGCCCCGTAAGGTTGGCGTCTCGGGGTCCTCGCCAATGACAGGCGGGAAACCCCCGCCTACCCCCGTAGAGGACCTTGCATGGCAGCATAAACGCTACGCTGGCAGGGAATCTTCCTGACCCTTCGAGAGGGTTCGGAAGAAATGCACATGCCACGCAGGGCATGCGGCTGGGACTGGGCCGCACGGCAACATCCCCGTCATTGCTATCACGTTCGATGGTTCTAGACAAAACTGTGCGGCGGGAAACCGAACCGCTGCTGTTTTTGCCTGAAAACCATGCACGATCCCACGTGTTGCATGGTCGGTTGAATTCGCCTTATTGCGAGCTTCAATTTGGTATGTTTAAAAGTGGATTTTATGTTTTTCCTATTACAAGCGCATGCGCTTATAAAAATGACTCAATTAGAAGCGCACCCCCCTAAAAAACACTGTTTATTATAAGCGCACCTGCGCTTCTATCCGGGGTAATACGGTACTGGTAGAGTTTGTAATGAGACTCGCCCTCCTCTTCAGGTTTGTAATCAGACATGACGAGATATTGCTGAACGCTCTGATTGAAGGTCCTGCTAGGGCCATCTCGACGGGTGGAAGCTCCACTCGTGGAGCAGAGGAGTTTGCGACACCACAGGGCCTCCTACTACTTGGATTATGTTGTTCTCCTACTACTGCTGGTTTCCGTAAATTGAAGTGGATCAATCAAGGTCTAAAACATCCAAGGTGATCGATGGATCACCATGGGTCACCTAGATTTATGTACTTGGCTTCGAGGGAGACGCAGGACGCCTTCGGCCGTGGCGATCGAAACCGAGTTGCACCACATCGTTAGTGTGGATGAAGCGAACTCTAAGCCCACACCAAGTACCGTATAATAAAGAGGATCTAGCCTAGTGGCTTTCACATGCCACAGTGCAATAAAGCGTAAAGAACACCTGAAGGGGCACCAGCAGCTCTTTTCACTTCTTCCCACCCTTGCCATCCTTTCCCCCTTTTCCACCCTTGCCGCCCTTTCCTCCCTTTCCTCCCTTTCCTCCCTTTCCCCCCTTTCCCCCCTTTCCCCCATTGCCACCCACATTAATCTTTGAGCCCGTAACGCTACCTACAATCTGAGGAGTAGCGATCCCTCCAGATTCCTCCTGCTTCCCGCCAGTTCCCCCCTGATCCCCGCCAGATCCCCCCTGATACCCACCAGATCCCCCCTGATCCCCGCCAGATCCCCCCTGCTTTCCGTCAGATCCCCCCTGATCCCCTCCAACACCTCCCTGCCCCCCGCCAACACCCACCTGCTGTCCGCCAGCACCCCCCTGCTCCCCGCCAGGTTCCCCCTGCTCTCCGCCAAGACCCCCCTGCTGTCCGCCAGGACCGCCCTGCTGCTGTCCGCCGGCTCCCGCTTGTTCCCCGCCAGGGCCGCTCTGATCACCTCCAGGACCGCCCGAACCTCCGCCGCGACCGCCTAATTCTCCGCCAGCATCACCGCCTGTGCCTCCGAGTCCCCCTAAATGTGCGCCATCGCCGTTACTTAAATTATCAGCAGCCAGAAGAATCGATTTGCTTGGCGCTACATTTAAGAACGAGTGAATTCTTAGATTGAGACCGCGGCTTAGAGCGATGCTCCTCGCGGATGCTGCGCAGATGATAGAAGACACGTTGATCGGATCCGCCATATCGGATCCGTCGATTTGGATAAAGTCAAAGAGTCGGGCGGAACGGAGGCCAAACGAGAATGCATGTGTGAACGCGCAAAACATTCGAGAGAAAAAAAAGAAAGTGAAGCAAATAGTAGAGGAGCAAAGGAAAATCGAAAATGAGAAGCAAATCTGAGCAGAGGCCAAAGCTGGGCAAGTGAAGGACTCACCAGGCGCTATAAACACCGACGCCGCGAAAAGCGCTAGCAGAAGTAGAGGCAACCCGATGCCTCGTGTTTTGCAGGCCATCGTGACCGAAGGTGCTCTTCGCTTGCTGCGACTTACATTAGCTGTAACAAAGAAACGGAGATGGTGAGTGACGAAAGCTAAGGGCGAGTCGAGCGTGTACGTTTACAGTTCATCTGCCGTCGTTGCACAGCGGTTATCACGCTTCACCGTTTTGCACCGTTACGCAACGATATTAACCGCACAGAACGGTAAAGGGACGAACGCGCTGGACACGGCCTAAACGCGAGTAGGCTCGAGTGATGGGAAAGTTCGAAATGTGATGAAATGTCCAGAAAGGGGCGAGGAGGATGGTGGTGTGAAAGTGGCTATCCAATGGAGGGGATGGCGTGTGAACGCGGCTTGAAAACGAGGAGGAGATGCAATGTCATACGATTGGTCTCCCTCGGCGGTATATCGTGTTTCGCGCCAGGTCGAATCCGCACCTTGCGCTCAGCTCATGTTTCGCAGGAGATTTTTGCGACTGAGAGATTGGCCGATGTTATTGTTTCACGACGGGTAACATATTCTACCGGCGACGTCGAAAGGATTCGAGAACGACCTTCCAATTGTTACGCATAACCTGCGATCTCGGTAAGAAAAGCAACTGTTGAGACGACCCGCGAAACGCGCAGCTGCTCACTAGCGAATCACATTCAAAGTGATGATACGCATCTATAAACTTGCACCTCCGAGATCGTATAACACCGATGGATCTGTTTCAAGTGTAAAACATTTTGTTGCTGGAGCAACTGTTTCTGCGCTTAGAAATTCTGTGTAGCACATTTTGGAAGGGACAACGCAAAGCAAATACCAATGTCTCACAAAAACAAAACCACAAAGCAAGCACAAAACCTAAACATGGAAGATCTTCACCACTTCTCGAATGGGAGCTCGGCACACAGGGCAACCCCAGCCCTTGGATCTAACCTCAGCGAGACACTCCACACACCCCGCCACATGCCCGCAAGGCACACACACTGCATGCGCTGCTGAATCCCAGCAAATCACACACTGACCCTCTCTTGACGCACCTCCTGCTGTTGATGATGATGCTGGTGCCCCTCCTGCTGTTGATGATGATGCTGGTGCCCCTCCCGTTGTTGCTACTCCTGCTCCCGCCCCTGCCTCGGCCCCTGCCTCTGCTCCTGCTCCTCCTGCTGCTGCTGATCCTGCTCCTGCACCTGTTGCTGTTCCTGCTGCCCTGCCTCCAGCTACAGCTGCTCCTGCTGCTCCGCGCCCTTGGCTCTGTGCCCTGGCGAGTTCTGCCTGCACCCTCTCAGGGTTGTAGCTCGGATGTAGCTCCGCTACAGATGCCGCACCGGGCGAAGGAAGGCTGGCAGGATAAGCTACAAACGCTGCTGCTGCGGATGGGACGTTAGCAGGTGTATGGGGATGGGAGTTGGGTGGTTGCGCCTGCGGGTGGATGTGAGGGTTTGGGTTTCGCCTGGGGCTGCTGGGAGGGGAGAATTGGATGAGAGGAGGGTCGAAGAACGAAGCACGGTGGCCTGTGGTTCGCTGCCATGCTGTCGCAGCTGCAGCAGCTGTTGCTGACGTGAGAGCCCCTGCCGCTGTTGCGATTGCCTCAGCAGCCACTGCTGCTCTAGCATTGAAAGCTGGAGCTGCTCCTGCTGGTGCCGCTGGTGCTGCTGCTGCTGCTGCTGCTGGCTGGCCTGTCACGGCTGCTCCTGGCAAACTCCCTGCTCCCGCTGATGCTCCTGATGTGGAAGCAGGACCATCCACAGGGGGTGCTGATGGTGGGCCGGATGCAAAGAGCGACGACACGGCTGCTGCTGCTCGGTTGAATGCCGGTGCCACAGATGAGAACTGATTTGCAATCTCGTCGCGCATTCTACCCCCTTCCACCCCTGCTGCAGCAGCAGTGCCAGCTGTACCGGCTGAGCCGGCCGCAGAGCCAGCTGCAGGACCAGCGGCAATGCCAGAAGAAGAGCCGGCAGCACCAGAGGAAGAGGGGATAGGGGTAGTAGGTGGGGCAAAGGGGTGCCGGTCAGCAGAGGCTGAAACAGACCTCGAGGAGCGATGGGAAGCAGTGAATGCATCAGTAGCAGCAGCACCAACACCAGCAGCGGAAGAGGAAGATGAGGAGAGAGAGCGGCCGGATCTGGACTGAGGCTCGGAGGAGGAGCGGGTGAGAATAAACCCGTCTGCTCCTTCCTCCCCTCTGCTCATGCCCTGAGCAGCCGCAGCAGCAGCGGTTCCCGAAGGACCAGGGGCATCGGCTCGGGCAGAGCTGGCAGTGCTGGCAGTGTGCATCGACTCAGAGAGCGCCAGCTGGAACGCCGTGTCCTCGTCCACGTCATCCGGCCACGCGTGCACGTTCACCACACCCCTGGATTCAGATGATCCTGACGCCATCCCTCCTGCTCCTGCTTCTGCTCCTGAACAACCCCCCCCCTGCTGCTGCTGCTGCTGTTGCTGCTGCTGATACTGCTGCCATGCCTGCTGCTGCTGCTGTGCCTGCTGCTGTGTGTAATAGGCCGCAGCATACGCATCATAAGCAGCAGCAGCAGCAGAAGCAGCAAAAGGGGAAACGGCAGGAGCGGCAGGAGGGTGGGGGTACATGGGGGGATGCATCTGTTGTGGGGGGGGATGGTGAATGGAGGAGGGGGCAGTGTGAGAGCGGGACGCTGGGAGCTGGGTTGCTGGTGGTGGTGCATGTGACTGTGGGGTGCGGGGAGAGGATGCCACATGCTGAAGGGTCGGATGCTGATTGGCTGACTGAGTGCGAGCCTGCATGGGGTAGAGATGGGAGGGTGTGAGAATGGGAGGGATTGAGGCTTGAGAATGTGGTTCGGAAACGTCGGTGTGAGGGATTAGGTGAAAGGGCATGCCAACGTGCATGTGTGTGTGGGAAGAGTTAGAGGGTGAGAGAATGTTGGGAGGGCAGGGGACAGAAGGGTGAGAAACGAGAGAAGAATAAGAGATCAAAGAAGAGTGAGGGGAGATGGAGGGATAGGAAGAGGAGTGAGAGGAAAGAGAGGAGTGAGAGGGAAGAGAGGAGAGAGAGGCTAGAGGGAGTAAGGGCGGAGAGGGGAGGGAGGGGAGAAAAGATGAGAGCAGAGAAAGGAGGGAGGGGAGAGAAGGAAGAAAGAAGCCACTCGTGCGCTTCCCCGGCACGCGTCGTGCAGGCGAAATATCTGAGAAGGGAGAGAAGAAGTTAGAAGAGTGGAGACGAGGGAAGAGTGAGAAAGGAGGGAAGAGTGAGAGGGAGGGAAGAGTGTGAGGGAGGGAAGAGTGAGAGGGAATAAGCAAATTACCCGTGGCGTTCCCCGGCACGAGTCGTGCAGGCGGAATATCTGGGAAAGGGTCGGGTGAACTATTGAGTCGACTCAACAGTGACATAGAGGGTGAGAGAAGAGAAAAGAGAGAGCGGAGGGGGAGAAGAGTCACCTGTGGTATTCCTCGGCAGGCGTCGCGCAGGCGGAATATCTGAGAGGGGTCAGGTGAATCCTTGAGTCGAATCAACATTGACCTAGAGAGAAGAGAGAAGGGAGAGAAGAATTACCCGTGGTGTTCCCCGGCAGGCGTCGTGCAGGCGGAATATCTGCGAGGGGTCGGTTGAATCCTTGTCGCTCACGAATTTCCACTTGCCCTTCGCCGCTGCCATAGAGGGATGCATGCAGACATGCATACATACATGCAGGCATGCATACATACATGCAGACATGCAGACATACATGCAGGCATGCATACATACATGGAGACATGCATACATACATGCAGGCATGCATACATACATGCAGACATGCATACATACATGCAGACATGCAAACATCCATGCAGACATGCATACATGCATGCAGACATGCAGACATGCATGCATACATGCAGACATGCATGCATACATGCAGACATGCTTGCATACATGCAGACATGCATGCATACATGCAGACATGCTTGCATACATGCAGACATGCATGCATACATGCAGACATGCTTGCATACATGCAGACATGCATGCATACATGCAGACATGCTTGCATACATGCAGACATGCATGCATACATGCAGACATGCTTGCATACATGCAGACATGCATGCATACATGCAGGCATGCAGACATGCATGCAGGCATGCATACATACATGCAGACATGCCATCACACACACATGCATGCATACACATTCCATACGCATGTGGACATGTGTGATTGGACACATGCACGCATGTGGATGCCCGCATACGGACACACTTGCACACATGCGTGAACATGCAGGTCAGATAAGCATGCGAATGCGCGCGTGCGATGCACATGAACACACACGGATGGGCACACACAGGCATCGAGTGCAACAAACACAGAACACATCACACAGAGTGCAGAGATAAGCCGAGTTATGAAACGTCTTAAAACTCACACACAGAGCAGAGACAATCCATTAGCAACACAGCATGGCATGGCAAGATGCGAACTCGGGGTGCAGGTTTCCACGTGATTGAAGAAGTGTTTTGAGACGTCTCATAGGGAAATAAGAAAAATCAATAAAAGCAGAAATAAGCCACATCGAGAGAACGAAGAATCGCATAGGGTGTTGGAAAGAGTAGAACGAAAGGAAAGAGCAGAATGGAGGGAGGAGGTGCCATACCATGAACGGGGTCCTCTATAACGAGTACAGGGATGGCGGAGTCGAGCTTGGTCAAGTGAATGCGGCACACGTGCAGAGCTATGGTGAAATAGGGCGTGCCAAACTGCAGGAGGTTGGGGGGGGAGGTAGGGGAGGGGTGGATTGGAGGGGAGCTCGTTTCAAGAGAGCTCATGCAGTGCTATGTCGAAATAGGGCGTGCCAAACTGCAGGAGGTTGGGGGGGGAGGTAGGGGAGGGGTGGATTGGAGGGGAGCTCGTTTCAAGAGAGCACATGCAGTGCTATGTCGATTTAGGGCGTGCCAAACTGCGGCATGTTGTGAAGGGAAGGGAGGGGGAAAGAAGGGAGAGGGGAGAGGAGGGGCTCAGTGAAAAAGGCACCAAGGCACGTGGAGCGCTATGTTGAAGTAAGGCGAGCCAAACTGCAGCAGGTAGTGGTTGTGATGAAAGGAAGAGGGGACTTTTGAGCCGGCTCTTGAGTCGAGTTGACTTTTGAGTCGACTCAAAAGCCAGAAGGTAGTGGTTGTGATGAAAGGAAGAGGGGCAACAAGCAAGTCTTACAGGAGAGTGGAGGGTGGAGGATGGAGGGTGGCAGGTGGCGGGTGGCAGGTGGCGGTGGCGGGTGGAGGGGTGGAGGGTGCAGGGTGGAGGGTTGGGAGTAAAGGTGGAGATGGGGTGTCGTCGAGGGTGGTGGGGTGGGGTGCCTACATGTGTTTCTGTGCCTCAAGATGCACTGTTGCACGAATACACTCACAGCCATGAATGCACTCACTGCCATGAATACACTCACAGCCATGAATACACTCACTGACATGAATACACTCACAGCCATGAGTACACTCACAGCCATGAATGCACTCACAGCCATGAATGCACTCACTGCCATGAATGCACTCACAGCCATGAATACACTCACAGCCATGAATACACTCACAGCCATGAATGCACTCACTGCCATGAATACACTCACAGCCATGAATACACTCACTGACATGAATACACTCACAGCCATGAATACACTCACAGCCATGAATGCACTCACTGCCATGAATACACTCACAGCCATGAATACACTCACTGACATGAATACACTCACAGCCATGAATACACTCACAGCCATGAATGCACTCACAGCCATGAATGCACTCACAGCCATGAATGCACTCACAGCCATGAATACACTCACAGCCATGAATACACTCACAGCCATGAATACACTCACAGCCATGAATGCACTCACAGCCATGAATGCACTCACTGCCATGAATGCACTCACAGCCATGAATGCACTCACAGCCATGAATGCACTCACACCCATGCACTCACACCCATGCACTCACACCCATGCACTCACACCCATGCACCCACTCTCATGCACTCACACCCATGCACTCACACCCATGCATGTATAGGGGCCACTCACAGCCATGGATGGATAGAGCTTGAGGCGGAATGTCTGGCGTCCGTCACTCATGGTGGGCTCTGGAAGCACAGCCACCCAGCTGCAGAGGATGGGCGGAGAGGGGTGGAGTGGGTTGGAGAGGGATGGCGAGAGTTGGAGATGGGTGGAGAGGGTCGGAGAGAGCAGCGACAACAGGGACAGAGGATGGTGGGAAAACAGTGTCGCGGACACTGGAAAAGAAATTCCGTATACGGCTCACTCTTCGGTGCATCCATTGACTCACACCCTCCTAAACACCTATCACACAGATGGCACTGCCGGGGGCAAAACCAAATCAGACTCACCATCCCATATGCACCAATCTCAAACATCACTCACATTCTTCGGTACACCCATTGCGGGATAAAGGCTTTCACTAGCGACGGGGCTGAGAGGGTCTGCAGGCGCACGTAGCCCTCGAACAAGGCCACTCGGCTCTGATGGGGTGAGATGAGATCAGGGGGAAGGGGGGACGGGTGAGGCTGAGTGGGAGAAAACGGGATGCGAATCTCCCGCAACGGTGCTGAGAGGGTCTGCTGTCGGACACAGCCCTCAAACAATGCCACCCGGCTCTGATGGGGCAATGAGGTGATTTTTGAGGCGCCTAAAAAATTACCGTAGCGCTCAAATAAGGCCACTCGGCTCTGATGGGGCAACAAGGGAGGGAGGAAGGGGCAGGCAGGTATGGTGTGGGGTCACGTGAATACCATCGTTCAAATTCTCTTATGTAGACAAAGTCAGCATGGGGATGTAGCTCAGATGGTAGAGCGCTCGCTTAGCATGCGAGAGGTATGGGGATCGATACCCCACTTCTCCAATAAAAATGCCATTTTGCTGAAGATCACAGTTTTTTGTAGTACGTCTCTTCTCTCTCTGCTCATGGCAACTACCCTATACTGGAAGTCTCCAGCTCTCAAACACACACAGACTCATGCGAACCTCCCTCTCCCCCCCTCCTTCCTTCACACGAGTAACCCCCGCCTCACCTCTGCGTCGGACAATAGCAGTGGCGTTTCTCTCCCTGGCCAGGTCCAGAGCGGTGGTCCTGCCCTCGTCATTGGGGAGAAGGGGGTTCTACTCCCTTCTCATCCAGCCCTCTCTCCTTCTTACACACCCAAACACCAACCACCCCCCTCTACCCTCTCCTCCCACCCCACCACACAACAACCCTCACCTCTATGAGTCAGACGACAGCAGTGGCGTTTCTCTCTCGGGCCAGGTCCAGGTGAGTTTTGAGTCGACTCTAAAGCCAGGTACAGAGCCGTCCCGTCCTTCTCTCGCTGGTGGGGGCAAGCAGTTTTACTCCACACACCCGAACTCTCTCCCCGTCACACGCACACACTGACACGAGGCCCCCGTACCCCCCCACACACACACAAGCAACCCCCCACCTCACCTCTATGAGTCGGACGACAGCAGTGGCGCTGGCCAGGTCCAGAGCGCTCTTGCGTTCGTCGTTGGGGAGAAGGGGGTCCGCTGCAATAGGGACAGGCAGGGAGGAACGAGGGAGAAGGGGGGAGAACAGGGGAGAATGGGGGAGAACAGGGGAGAATGGGGGAGAACAGGGGGAGAATGGGGGAGAACAGGGGAGAATGGGGGAGAACAGGGGAGAATGGGGGAGAACAGGGGGAGAATGGGGGAGAACAGGGGAGAATGGGGGAGAACAGGGGAGAATGGGGGAGAACGGGGGAGAATGGGGGAGAACGGGGGAGAACGAGGGAGAACGGGGGAGAATGGGGGAGAACGGGGGAGAATGGGGGAGAACGGGGGAGAATGGGGGAGAACGGGGGAGAATGGGGGAGAACGGGGGAGAATGGGGGAGAACAGGGAAAAATGGGGGAGAACAAGGGAGAATGGGAGAGAACAAAGAGGGGCCGGGGTATTTTTTCACGGCTGTAATCCCAGCTCCACGCTCCAGCAGTAACTGCACTACCCCACACAGCTCCTTCCTATGTTGGAAAAGTCGCGCCCAGCGCATTATACGCAAGCGTATATACGCTTGCGTATAGTGCGTTATGCGCTTCGTGAGTGACTTTGAAAGTCGCAGAAAGTACGCTGCCCGGGCAGCAAAAGGTTTTTACCGGGCAGACGAAAAAAACCGCCGAAGGAGGGGGGGGGAGTGGTGGTTTTACCGAATTTCATATATTGAAAAAACCTTACATTCTCAACTACTCTAAGCAAGCAACATGCATCTCTCCTACCCCACCCCCTAGCAACAGGCTCGGGGTAGGGTAGGAGAGATGCATTCTCAACTACTCTAAGCAAGCAACATGCAACTCCTCTACTTGTACTCATCCTCCAGCTCATCCTCCTCCCCCTCCTCCTCATCCTCCTCCAGAACCTCGTTGTACCCTTCCGGCAGGGAGGCCTCAGGGATGTTCCCCGGGAGAACCGTCACCCCCTCAGCCCCCTTGTGCCAGTTGCGCACAATGTTCCAATTGTGCGCAACATACACGAGGTCCCGACACTTCTCGGACCCCAACCTGTTGCGCTTGGCAGTGTGGATCGATTCCCACACTGCCCAGTTCCTCTCACACGCCGATGCGGACACTGGCTGAGAGAGAACGCGGCAAGCGAGCGTTGTCAGCTCGGGGTGCTCCGTCCCGTGCCACGTCCACCACTGGACGGCCGTCTTCTTACCGGCCTTCACGAGCTCACGGTCAGAGATGGCGTCGGGTAGGCCGAAGCTCCCCTGAAGGGTGTTGAATGCCGTCAGGCCGTCCTGGATGACGTGGGATGCGCGCAGCTCCTCGCCCTCCTTGCGCGTGACGGTCCGCCCTGCGTAGTGACGAGCGACAAACGCTTTGAAGACGCGAGTACACTCCAGGTCGGTGCGGAAGATGCCTTCCTCTTGGTTGACCGGGTTGAGGATCCGGCCAACCACGTGCATGGCACACGCCATGCTATGGTCCCAGCGCTTTTGGACGATGTTGGTCACCTCCGTGCGTTCACTGCTGGACAGCACCAATCCCGCCTCCTCCTCCTCCAGCTTCGCATTGTTGTCTTCCGTGAGCTGCAGCATCAGATCGTACATCCTGCCCATCATGCCCTTGGCCGTCGAGTCGGTCTTGCGCATGACGACAAAGGGGATCTTCAGGAGGGCGACGAAGAACTCCGCACCTTTCCACCACACGGCATCCATGATCATGGTTGCGAAGGGCTCGACCGGCGGCTTCCTCCCCTTCGCCCAAGCCTGCCACTCCGGGCTCAGCACCATCTGCGTCAATGCACTCCGCACCTCGCAAAGCCGCTGCACCGCGATGAATTGCGTGCCAAATCTGGTGCCCGCCGGCTTCAGCACCTGCTTCCCCTTCCCTCCCTTCACCTGCGGGCTTCGCATGTAACCTTCGGTGAAATGGTGGGCACGCACAAAGGTAATAATCACCCCCGCCTTAGCCACAATGTCCTTCGCCCAATCCATTTCACCAATGTCCTCCATGAGCAGATCCATGACGTGAGTAGCGCACGGCACATGCTCAATGTGAGGATACTCAAGCATGAGTTCCCTACATGCAGCCGCATAATTGCTGCCCCCATCCATGCATAACGCAACTATGTTGGCGGGCCCCACCTTCTCAATGATCGGGCGCAAAACGGATGCAATGTAACCTCCCGTCTTCGTCTCCAACTTACAGTCGATGCTTTCGGTGAACACTGCACCGGAATCGTTGATGAGCAGGATGTTGGCTTGGGGACGGCCACTTTTGTCCGTCATCATGTCCGAGCCTATCGTCACGCCATCCCGCTTCCAGCTCGCAGTGATGGGAGCGAGCCCCCTCTCGATCTTTTCGCGGCAGCGCGCAAGGCCGGCGCCACCAACATACCGCCGCTTCGGGGGAACGTAGCCATGGCCCGCGTCCGTGATGCAGCGCACAGCGTTGCGCCAGAGAGGGTGATCGGCGAGATGCTCCGGGAGGTGAAGTGCCGCCCACATGAGGCAGATGGCGTCGTCTGCCGATTCCTTCGCACACGACGCCCCTTCCCCGTAGAAGTCTTCGATGCACTGCTTCTTCGCTCCACCCGCACACGCCTCGATCGCCATCTCCTCCGCCTTCTTCTTCCCTTCCCTGCGGGCGTGTTTGCCTTCGTACAATTCGCGGACGGCGCCGCGGTCAGCAGAAGGGATAGGCGCCTTGCAAAGACGGACGTCCTTCCGTTTCAGCCCTTTCCAGCACGTGATGTGTTGCGCGCAACGGAAGGCGCCCCCTACGAACTTAAGCTTGCAGTGCCGGCATATGCGGAGAGTACGCTCAGGACCATTCGAGGTACCTTCGATAGAGGTAAGGAAATGCTTAAAAATAACATGGGAGTTCACAGGAACATCCTCGTCGTCCGCCATGGTCGCGTCATTCGAAACACTAGGAGCCTCACTAGTGGCACTTGCGGGAGTACCAGAAGGAGTCGACATCAAATGCAGGTGAGCGGGAGTGTTGAGAGAGAATGAACGAGGAGAGAGATAATACAGATGACGGGAATGAGAGCTTACCTTATAGTCCAGGATGTGGTTGAACCACCTACGCTGGTTGACGACATTCGTGTTTGTGTGTTGGAGTCGCGCGATAGCATAGGGCGCAGTGCGGTTCAAATTTTCCCACGTCCCCACATTTTGACAGGTGTGGGTGACAATGTGGTTGGGACGTGCGTACAAATTGGGGTGGGACGTGCGTACATTTTGAGTCGCGTCGCACATTCGCAATTCGTGCGCGACTATTGAAATCTGGTTTTTTTTCGGGTCAGCCCGAACTTTCGCCAACGAATATACGTACGACTTGCGTACACCGTATATTCGTAAACGACTATACGGAGTGCGCTTATGGTTTCTGGCGACTTTTCCAACATAGGCTCCTTCTACTGTGAACAGACTCGAGGTTACAAATTCGTGGTAACCACCACATGGTTACCAGCTCACCTCCATGGTCCAGTCGAGCCAGCTGCACTTTCACTGAGGCATCGATTGTAACATATCGCAGCAACAAACATGTGGTTACAAACGCATGGTTACCGCATGGTTACCGCATGGTTACCAGCTCACCTCCATGGTCCAGCAGAAGCTTCACTGTGGCGTCGAGCTGCTTGCGAGCGGCATGGTGAATGGCTGTGCCGCCTCCCGGACCTTTGCAGTAGGCGTGTACATGGGCGCCCATCTGCAGCAGCAGCTTCGCCGCCTCATACCCCTCCGCCCGGCTGCTTGCGAGAATCAACGGCGTGCGGCCCTTGGAGTCCACACACTGGGTGGAGGGATGAGGGGGGACGAGGGAGGAAAGAGGCACGAAGAATATGAGCAGCAGCTTCGCAGCCTCATAGCCCTCCGCCCGGCTGCTGGCGAGAATCAAGGGCGTGCGACCCTTGGAATCCACGCACTGGGTGGAGAGATGAGGTTGGAAGAGGGGGGAGGGAGGCACGACGAGTATAAGCAACAGCTTCGCCGCCTCATACCCCGGCTGCTGGCGAGAATCAAGGGCGTGCGACCCTTGGAATCCACACAATGGTCGGATGAGGGGGGATGAGGGGGGATGAGGGGGGAAGAGGGGGGAAGAGGGGGACGGGAAGCACAAAGCATTTGAATTCGCCCATCTGCAACAGCAGCTTCGCAGCTTCATACCCCTCCGCCCGGCTGCTGGGGGGAATCAAGGGCGTGCGGCCCCTGGAGTCCACGCACTGGGTGGGGGGATGATGGGGGATGAGGGGGGACGGGAAGCACAAAGCATTTGAATTCACCCATCTGCAACAGCAGCTTTGCAGCTTCATAGCCCTCTGCCCGGCTGCTGGCGAGAATCAAGGGCGTGCGACCCTTGGAGTCCACACACTGGGCAGGGGGATGAGGGGGGATGAGGGGGAAGAGGGGGAAGAGGGGGAAGAGGGGGAAGAGGGGGAAGAGGGGGACGGGAAGCACAAAGCATTTGAATTCGCCCATCTGCAGCAGCAGCTTCGTAGCTTCATACCCCTCCGCCGCCTGGCTGCTGGCGAGAATCAAGGGCGTGCGACCCTTGGAGTCCACACACTGGGTGGGGGGATGATGGGGGAACGAGGGGGGACGAGTGTGGATGAGGGAGAACGAGGGGGACGAGGGAGGAAGGCACGACGAATATGAGCAGCAGCTTCGCCGCCTCATAGCCCTCCGCCCGGCTGCTGGCGAGAATCAAGGGCGTGCGAACCTTGGAGTCCACGCACTGGGTAGGATGAGGGGGGATGAGGGGGGACGGGAAGCACAAAGCATTTGTGCTTCGCAACTTCATACCCCTCCGTCCGGCTGCTGGCGAGAATCAACGGCGTTCGACCCTTGGAGTCCACACACTGTGCGTGGTAACGAAGGGGGTGGGGGGGGAGGAGGGGAGGAAGCAAGCATTTGAAATCGACCAGCTGCAGCAGCAGCTTCTCAGCTTCATACCCCTCTGCCTGGCTGCTGGCGAGAATGAACGGCGTACGAATCCACACACTGGGTGGCGGGATAAGGGGGGACGAGGGGGATGAGGGGGAAATGAGGGGGATAATGTTTTGAAGGATAATATTTTCTGTGCCTCTAGCCTCCCTAGCCCCTCATGTATCACACCTCATTCACAAGGAAATGTAACAGGTTACTGTATAACTCACGCCAGAAGGAGCTGGAAACTTGGATGCTAGCTTCAAATAAGCCTCACATTGGCGTCAACAAGCATCAGCGGCTTTAAGAATCATGGATAACAACCGAGAACAGAGCGTTGCAGGTGAAATCCTTATGAGTGCTTCGCATTGAAAAAAAAAAAAAAAAAAAAAAAAAAAAAAGTGAATAAAGTAACAACAAATCTCACATTGACGCTTATTCCACGTGAAACCAGCTCTCGGATGCCTGACGTGTCGCCGTGCTTCGCGGCGTGACGTATCAGCTCCTCTCTCGATCCACTCTGACCCATGATTCCACGCAAATTCTAAAGACTAGCAGGCTACCCCTTTCCACGCAAATTCTTTGACACGGAGAAAGCTCAAGCTACAGATACGAGAAACTAAGCGTTTTAATCCACGCGGAGCTTAGGAGCCAGCTTAGCTTGAAAGCAGAAAAGGCATTTCTAGCTGATAGTGGACGCTCACGTCGCATTAACGACCCGTGGACGGAATGAATGTAATGATGAAGATTGAGATGACCACGGAACACGCGTATTCGCGAAAACTTGGAATCGATTTCAGAGCTACTTTTCCCAGTACGGCCGCTAATGTGGGTAAGGACTGTGAAGAGGAAGGATGACAGGATGTGACGGAATAGGCGCTTCAGGGCTGACCCAAAATTGTGGGCAAGCTGACTATTTCTAGGAAGCAACTCCCAATGCAGTTGCTTGTGTTTGACGTGTGGTTGGGAAACATGGCGACTTGTGTGCATTCTGTATGCGAAGCAAATCCTTGTCTGCACCTGTACTCCACGAAGCACAGTGTTCGCATACAAAGTACATTTTGAGCAAAGGGGGCGAGTATGACATGTCCTGAGGTCTGACCCCTAGTGTCACGAAACCCTAGAGGCCCAGTCACAAAAATACTCTTGCATAAGAGAACATCTCATTGAAACGAAACATGGGTTCTGTTCTCACACCCTCTACGCGAGTTCGGGAGGGTGTTTCTGAACAAGTACGGGACTCCCTGAGCTGATATCGTTTCCGGGTTAAAACGCGATCTCGAGGTTCATGGAGTGATAACATCTGATGAAACACTTTTGTACAGTACTTCATGATACGCCTCATTTCACGCGACTGTACTCACTGAGTTCTAGAAGTCACCTTATCTCCACGTGGTTCAAAATGGATCAGTCTCTATCGTCACAAGTACCGTTTTTTTTTACAACAGGGTTCTGAGCGGGTCTGTAGGGTCCAGACCGATAAATCAGGGATTCAATCCGGTGAGAAGTCGAAGCTGCGCACCTCTAGAGTACCACGAATTGGTTGGTTGTACTTTTTTGAGGGCGGAAATCAGTGTCCCTCGTGATCGACTCAAACGGAGTTCGAGTCGTTTCTGCAAGTTATGACAAGATAACCATGGTTTCAGTCCGGTGAAAGAATAATGCCTCTTTTTCAACAGTGGATGAACCTGCTATCACAACGCAAGCGAAGCAAACCACTTGTTTTTGCACTTGGCTTCACAACCACAACCACATCTTCTGCAGCACGCACTTTCACAACAGCAGGTAATTCCATGTTGTGAATTGAACGGTTGAGCGTTTTGCGCGCAAGCAAGCAGACCTCGTGCTGCCGCGAGAGTCACCATGGTTCACCTAGGCCTAGAGTCGCCGAGCCATAATCGTCAATTACCTCACCAAGCCGCAGCGCTCCTGAAAGCGATCCCACTTGTCCACTATGCAGTCCTCGTAATTACCGCCTCCGCGATCTTCGCGTTCTGGGTCACATTTCCACCAAACGCGACTTATCTGCCCTCCGATTGCAACCACGCTGCTGATATACCCCTCGAACGGTCTGAAGAAACTTCGCGAGACTGCCCGCATTGCGACGAGCGGAATGATCGTACCTCGTTGGATGAACTTGCGCCGTTGGATCGGCCGTTAACTGCCCGCGGCGCGAAGATCCGGCTGTGCATGGGAAGCCCGTCGGCGCCGTTCGCGCAGGGAACGTTCGTGACCAAGCCGATGAATCATAAGAAAGCGTTTCACAACCGGTTCGCGCAGCTCACCGTGTTTGAAGCGGAGGTTCGGCACGAACCGGAGGTTTGGGCCGAAGCAGAGGCTCGGCGCGAAACCGCTGGGGGGACGACAGGCGGAGAGAGCAGCGGAATGGCGGCAGGAGAAGGCGGAATGGCTGGGGGACCGGGCGGAGACGGCGGAAAGGGGGGGGGGCAGCAAGGGGGGCAGCAAGGGGAACAACAAGGGAAGCCGCAAGGGGACCAGCAGCAAGGGGGGCAGAACCAAGGGGGGTCCGGGCGGGCAGAACCGACAAAAACGACACTGCGGCTGTTGTCGTTTCTGGAGGACGACGATTCGATCCACAGGTCGCAGTGGGAGGGGTGGGGCGAGGCGGAATATAGCGACCTCTTCTCTCAGAGTGTGTTTAAGGTGCAGTGCCACGTCTGGCCCACCCACGACGCTTATATGCAGACCCTCGAACCTGCTTATATTGTGGACGCGGTCGCCAATAACAGTTACCTGTGGCATAACGTCATCGAGTGCCCACTGCCACTATACACCGAGCTTATGACTGGTAATGAGACCGTTTCAAGTGAACCAGCCAGCTCCGCTGCTCCTCCCTCTGATCCCTCTGCGGCTCCTGCGTCCGAGAGCGGTCGAGAGCGGTTGGGAACGGCGGAGGGGAGGCGGTGGGCGGTGCATCACTGGCAGCAGGTGCAGGTGCAGCTGATGGCGGCAGAAGATGGGGCAGACCTGCGCATGCCCCCGCTGCTGCTGTGCCGCGCTGACAGCGACAAACACACCCTCGCCTCCTCCCCTCTCTCCCTCTCCCTGACTTCTTCTCGCCACACTGCTGCCGCTGCTGCTACGGCCCAGACCATCCCTGTCTCCTTCCCTCCGCCGTTTCCGTTTGCAGCAAAGGAAAAGGAATTGGCTGCTCTGGCTGTTGCCGGGGCTGCTGCTGAGGTCGCTGCTGCTGCTGCTGCGAAGGGTGCTAAGGGTGGCTCTGGAGGTTCGGCAGGCTCGAAGGGCGCTGCAGGCTTGGGAAGTGGCTCGGAGCTGGCTCGGTTCATGGCCGAGGCAGAGGCGAACAGCACAGATAAAAATTATGGTGGGGAAGTGCTGAGTTCCGAGGACCTGCTCGTGAACTATGAGGACGCAGCTACTAACGAGTACGAGGAAAGCAGCAGCAGCAGCAGCAGCAGCAGCAGCAGGAGGAGGAGGAGTGCGGGCATGGGAGCAGTGAGCATCTGTCTGCGGCCGGTGCACAAGCGGCAGATGTTCTCAGACAACGTTGCTGTCTCAGACACACGATTGCTCGAGTGGATCGACGCGTGTCTGCTGATGGGAGTGGATCGCATCTATGCGTACGACCGCTACTCCACGCACATACGCGCGCTGCTCTGGGAGTATATTGCCCGAGGGCAGGTGGTGCACGTGCCGTTCCCCAACTGGAGCGAGGTGTTCTTTAGGCAGGCCCACTACGACGGCAAGGCCAAGAAGCCCTACGCGGTGAGTCAGTGTGCCCTTCCTTGCTCTCCCTGTGTGTGTGTGTGTGTGTGTGTGTGTGGGAGTGGGAGGGGGGGGTGCTGTGCCTGCTCGAGTGGATCGGCGCGTGCCTGCTCATGGGAGTGGATCGCATCTATGCATACGACCGCTACTCCACGCACATACGTGTCGCTGCTGTGGCCGTATATTGCCCGAGGGTAGGTGGCTTTTGAGAATTCTCAAAAGTCACTCCTTTTGAGAATTCTCAAAAGTCACTCCAATATAGCTGGCCTACAAATCCCTCCGGTTCTGGTGTGTTGGAAGTTACCTACACGGTTACAAAACCGTTTGGTTAGGGCTCGCTTCTCTACAACGAATCCCACTACAACGGACTCACCTACTGTTTTGCGGTGAAGTTCCCTTGGGCCTTCGGGAATTTCTCGAGTGGTCCCATGCTGATCCAAGTTGGCAGCCTTGTATGGTTCGGGCAGATTTCGCCTGGGTAGTGGTTAGACCTAGGGAATTTGGGGGGTTGAGAGGATAACGGGAGAAATAGTAGAAATGGGACTAGAAGGGTCTTGTTTGTAATCCTAACTGGCGCTGATGAAGGCCTCACAGGCCGAAACGCGTACGCCTACTTAGTACTTTTACTTTGAGACTTATCAAGTCCTCATTCATACCTTTTTTCCTAGTCCTACGAAGCAACCCACCCATACTTAGCTGAAAGTTTCAACGGCGACCACACGGCTTGCTGCGTTTCGAATCCTTCATTACTCCGCAAGAGGCTACCTCTGGTGCACGTGCCGTTCCCCAACTGGAGCGAGGTGGTCTTTAGACAGGCCCACTATGACGGCAAGGCCAAGAAGCCCTACGCGGTGAGCGCCCTTCCGTGATATGTGTGTGTGTGTGTGTGTGTGTGTGTGTGTGTGTGTGTGTGTGTGCGTGCGTGCGTGCGTGCGCGCGTGCGTGCGTGCGCGCGCGTGTGTGTGTGTATGTGGGAGAGGGGATCGCATGCCTGTCCGGGCGAGTTGTCTCGGCCCCGTGGGTCCTTTAACCATACCGTCAGCTCATCGAACCGTTTGGTGCCCTCCTTCGGCGCCAGTTTGGCTTGCCGACAGTTTTTTCAGTTGAATGCTCACCTCGAATGCTCACGTCGAATGCCCACCTTTGATGCAACTTCGTCCAGTTGACGACTTCTCGCGCTGACTGCCTTCCTTTATTGCAATTTTCTAGGCGCCTCGAACGACTGCCTTCCTTTATTGCAATTTTCTAGTCGCCTCAAAAGGCTGCCTTCCTTTATTGCGATTCTTCGAGGCGGTGGCTTGGCTTGTCTAGCGAATCGCCAGTCTGGCTTTTCGAGGCTCAAGTGTGAAGAGCCATTGTGATGCGCCTTCGAGCCCGTTACCTTTGGCGCTAATTATCGAGTTTGACGGCCCGCCAGCTAGTTCCCAGACATATGCGACCAGGTGATATCGTTCAAGCACTGCATGATGCTGGGCCGTCAGTGTTAAACAGGTGGGCTGCGGTGGGCCGTCAGTGTTAAACAGGTGGGCTGCGGTGGGCCGTCAGTGTTAAACAGGTGGGCTGCGGTGGGCCGTCAGTGTTCAACAGGTGGGCTGCGGTGGGCCGTCAGTGTTAAACAGGTGGGCTGCGGTGGGCCGTCAGTGTTAAACAGGTGGGCTGCGGTGGGCCGTCAGTGTTAAACAGGTGGGCTGCGGTGGGCCGTCAGTGTTAAACAGGTGGGCTGTGGTGGGCCGTCAGTGTTAAACAGGTGGGCTGCGGTGGGCCGTCAGTGTTAAACAGGTGGGCTGCGGTGGGCCGTCAGTGTTAAACAGGTGGGCTGCGGTGGGCCGTCAGTTTCGGTTCATTCAAGCACTGCATGATGTTGGGCCGGAGGTGACTTGAGTTAAATCATCAACCATCCCCAAAAAAGCATTTCCCCCCTCCGTCCCCCCCACCCGCCCCCCTCCCCCCCCGCCTCCCCCCAGCCAGTTCCCAGACATATACGACCAGGTGATAGCATTCGAGCACTGCATGATGCTGGGGCGGAGGTGACTTGAGTTCACTCATACAGCACCCCGAATAACCATTCCCCACTCACCCCCCGTTCGCCCGCCCACCCACCCGCCCCCCTCCCCCCCGCCTCCCCCCAGCCAGTTCCCAGACATATACGACCAAGTAATAGCATTCGAGCACTGCATGATGCTGGGGCGGAGGTTCGGCGACAGGTGGCAGCTGCAGATAGACAGTGACGAGTTCATCTGGTACCACCCCCAGGCGGGGGGGTTCCTGAAGCCGCTTCTCGCCAGGATAGAGGTCAACCACGCCAAGGCACCAGGCAGCAAGCAGCCTCTCCGGGTGAGTAAACTATAAACTGTAAACTGTAGAACACATAACGAGTGACTGCATTGCATGTGCCTTTCGAGGTGAGGTGCCTTGTGAGTCAACTTAAAAGTCAGAAGCCACCAGGCAGGCAGCTCTCAACTCGACAGGTGGCAGCTGCAGATAGACAGTGACGAGTTCATCTGGTACCACCCCCAGGCCGGGGGATTCCTGAAGCCGCTTCTCGCCAGAATAGAGAGGAACAATGTGCGTGTTCCAGACTGCAGGCAACCACTGTGGGTGAGCAGACCGTCTGACATCTCCAGCGAGCAGCAGAAATTTTAGTACATTTCGGAGATGTTTTTCCTACTCGCTAAACCTCTTCCTAATCTACTTGGGCGTATCTGGAGATGTCAGACGGTCCGCGTGCTCCAGACTGCAGGCAACCACTGCGGGTGAGTTACGTTACATCTTGGAGATTTGCATCCCTTGTCATGTCTAGTTCTTCTTGGCCCATTTTTGCACTAACCTAACACTTTTGTGCTGCTCTTCTTCTGCCTAATGATGTGATTTAGCAACTCTGATGAGGCAGCTTAACTTCCGTTTCTCTAACCTCATGGCTTCACCTGACTGCTAGCCCCCCCCCACCCTTTTCTGTGAGGCAGGCGATTCTGATGAGACGCCTGACCTTGTTTCATAGAGGAGTCACAGGGGGGACCCGGTATCTGACAGGCTGCTGTGGCGCTTTAACCTCTAAGTTTCCAACCGCATGGCTTGACCTGACTGCTAGCCCCCCTCCCCGCCCTTCTGTGTGTGGCAGGCGATTCTGATGAGGCGGTTCAACTTCTGGGGAGTGACCAAGGAGTCGCGGGGGGATCCGGTTTCTGACAGGCTGCTGTGGCGGTGCAGTGAGCCCATGTGGCACACCAAGGCGTGGGTCGGCTGGCACGACAAGGTGGCCGTCAACCCACAGACCATCCTTCCATAGTGAGTGGGGTGTTGGTTGGCATGTAACATGTTACCACGGGCGAGTGAGTGCCGTGCCGTCAACCCACAGATCAGACTCCCCTAGTGAGTGAACCCTCAGACAAGGTGGTGCAGTGCGGTGGCTCTGGTGCTGGCTGGCACGACAAGGTGGCCGTTAAACTCCAGACGATTCTTCCATAGTGAGTGGGGTGTTGGTTGGCATGTTACCACGGGCGAGTGAGTGCCGTGCCGTGCCGTCAACCCACAGATCAGCCTCCCCTAGTGAGCGGCACGTGCATGGGATGTGATGTGAATGGGATGGGATGTGATGTGAATGGGATGGGATGTGATGTGAATGGGATGGGATGGGATGTGAATGGGATGGGATGGGATGTGAATGGGATGTTTGCGTGCTTCAGGTGTTAAATTCCGGCTGGATTGACAGAGCTCAGACTGGCACGCCCGACGCCCGTGACAAATAGTTTCCCACCCACCCAGACAAACTACTCCGTCTCCGTCCTGCTAGCCTTGTCGGCTCAGTTCGAGACGGTACGTCACTAGTCAGTTCCACTCCTGCTCGATCCACAAGCCTGTCTGCCATTTCCTCAATCTCCGTGGAGTGAAAAGCAGCTGTTCCACTAGTGGTCCCCTGCTCGTATGCCAGTGGCCCTCTGTTTTTGTTTTTGTTTTTGTTTTTTTTCTTTCTTTCTTTCTTTCTTTCTTTCTTTCCATTCGGGACCCCACTGAATCTCAATAATCCATTCGAAACGCAACCTGACGCAATAATCCATTCGAGGTGGATCTCAAGGTGCCGCCCTGCAACGCCACAGTCAAGCCTATAGAGGACCCCAGCCTCTTCTTCCCCATTCCCCTCACTGCCTTCCTTCCTAATGATTCTGTTAACCTCCTCTTTCCTCCTTTTTTCCACCTTTCTCTTCCCCCCGACCAGCTCTATATCCATCCACAACACGTTCTCCCCTCCGGAAGAGATGGCAACAGCGCCACCAGAAATTCTCCACCTGAACCACTACACGTCCCGGGAGGTGGATCTCAAGGAGCCGCCCTGCAATGCCACAGTCAAGCCCATCGACGACCCCAGCCTCTTCTGGGCTCGCAACCGTACCCTGGAGTGCAAAGCGGTGCAGTGCGGTGGCAGTGGTGAAACTCCTGTGGAGTGCTGGCCCTTCTGCCAGCTGCCTTGGGCGGGTCAGTAGGAATGGATAGCAACATGCAAGCCGCACAATGGAGTGCAAGGCGGTGCCGTGCGGTGCAATGCGGTGCGAGTGCTGACACCCCTGTGGAGTGCTGGCCCCTCTGCCAGGACAGGAATAGGTAGCATTCTCGGGGTCAGGGCAGGGCAGGGCAGGACAGGGCAGGGCAGGGCAGGGCAGGACAGGAATAGATACGTTAGCCCTCCTGGAGTAACGATACGGTGCAAAATGCCACGTTGAAGCCAGTAGAGGAGCAAACCTCTTTTGAGAATCCTCAAGAGCGACTCAGATCAGAATCTGCCAGCTGCCATGGGTGGGTCGGGACAGGATTAGATAACACTTTTGGGCTCACGACAGGACAGGATTAGGTAGCTAGCTAGCACTCTCGGGGTCAGGGCAGGACAGGACAGGAATAAAACGCCACGGTGAAGCCAATAGAGGAACAAGCAAGTCTCTTCAGGGCTCACAATTACACCGTGGATGGATGTAGTGCAAGCAATGCATTGTGGCAGCGGTGCTACACGGCGGGGTATGAGTAGAAAATGCCATGCAAGCTACGCGCAAGGCAAGAATAGCAATATAGCAATTGCTACTGCTTGATGTGTGGATGGCGGAGAGAGAGAGGGAGATCCATGGGCCACGGGAACAAACAACTGTGCCAGGTGGGGGGAAGACATCAACATGCCTTCGTGCTACGCGTCCGTGCTATCTACTTGTATGGTGCTCCCAACTCAACTCCTCGCTTTCAAAGCGGGGTAGTCTCGAAGCAAACGGTTATTTCTTCCGTTTTTACACAGCATTTCTAATATTGACTCATGCCAGCCTTGGCCATGGCGTGCTCTTCCCTTGACCCTCGATATACCGTATGGCCCCGGATATAGGCGCCGTCCGATTAGAGGCGCCGGCGCCTCTATCTGGAGCATGGCGCTTATGGCCGGAACTCGATTATAAGCGCACCCCCTGAAAATTCTATCCTTATTATAAGCGCATCCCTTAACCTTTCATTGGAGGCATTACAAAAGATTTTACTAAATTGTCACTTTTTCTAAGCAACATCAAATTAAGCTAGATCTCCTAACAACAAGTTTAGCCGGGGTACTTCTACCTACGGTAACATGGATCATACAGTACCCCTCCTACTCCTCCTCGTCAGATTCGGGCTCCTGGCAGTTGTTGCCAAAAAAACCATCAGCGATGATGTCATCGTCTGTTGGAAACAATTGATCTAAGCGCCTCTGTCGTGTCGAAACACCAAGACAGAAACGAAACAGACAATATCGAAACATCGGCAAGTCAACCCTCGGAGGTTGAACAACTGCTGGAGGTTACGCGAAAGTCAAAGGTCAGCGACCTTTGACCTGACAAGTACCGTCATACCCCGGATATACCCCCATGGGGGGCACTAATAAAACATGTTTTTTTTAGGGGGTGGGCTTATAATATAGTAAATTTATAAGCGCCGGCGTTTATGTTATGTCAAAAATGAAATTTGTTTTTAAATATACCAAATCGAAGCATTCTCAAAGGCGGATTCACCTGAGTCGAGAACGTTCGACTCTGTGCATGCTTTGCGCGTGAAACGGCCAACAAGGCGTGGCATCACGCCTTCCACGCCTTGTTGGCCGGGCCAGGTTCATCGAACGTGAACCTGGCCCATGCCAGGGCACACGTACTTCGCATCACAGCTGCCCAATCAGGGTTGCATGCGATCGTGGGCACGTCGTGGTTCAGCCACGACGTGCCCATCAACAGCAAGATTCCCTGCCACCGAGGCAAAGAGCTGTCCCACTCAGCTCCTCTGCGGGGAATCTTGACTGTGGCCACACTTTCCCCACAGAGGAGGCCGGGCCGCGAAACTGAAGGGGTCTCGGGCGAGGGCTTCATACGGCCCTCATTCCCAACTTTTGGTTCAGTTTTCTTCGTTCGTTTGGCCTGCCGTGGCCATGGCGGGCCTTCCAGGCACGCATTTCTTATTCCGCCGCCAACCTGCTGCTAGAGAAAATACCCGCAGAGACACTCGTGACTACTCTCAATGGCAGACGCGCCCTGCGCCCGTCCCTCCACCACAACCAGTAGTGCCTCCCGTTCCTCCCATGCCTCCTACGCCTCCTACCCCTCCCGCTCCCCCGGCGCCTCCTATTCCTCCCGTTCCTCCGGCCCCTCCCGTCCCGCCTGCTGTTGGTGTTCCGCGACAGGGGGTTCTGTAGCTTCTCCTCCCCCCTGGCTACTCGGCGTTCGACGCCTTCCTGTCCGAGCCTGAACGCAGCGGCGGCGAAGGATCTTCCTCCGCACCGGAGCCACGATGGGGAGCGCCGGCTGATTGCCCGTTGGACGAATCCGCTACCGGTGCGGACGACGACGTGGAGTTCTGGGCTGCTGACGGTCTCCCCGAGCACCTTCCAATTCCCTCCTTTCCCCCTCCGAATAAAAAAAGGCCCCACCCATCTCGCGATAATCGTGATGCCCGTCCTCCCTCCCCCAGGCACAAGCCGACAAAGTACAGGCACAATTCCTACACCTCGCATGAGAAGCTGCAATGGATTCTAAAGCTCGAAGCCGGAGAGATGAGTGTGCGGCGCATGTCTCGCGAATCCGGCATCTCCCGAAGGTGCCTCACGGAGTGGAAGAACCGCAAGGGTGAGCTTGAGGGCGCGCACGGTGCACGCTGTCGCCTGCACGGCCGCGGAAGGAGCTCGTGGTATCGCGACATGGAAGCGGAGGTGTACCGGAGGTTTCTCGCCCACCGCAAGAAGTGCCTTGCCGTCTCGATCGCACGACTGCAGAAGTGGTCGCACGAGGTGATGAAAGAGTTACACCCAGGTGAAAAGTGGGCCGGCTCTCAGCGGTGGACTCAGCGCTTTCGCCGCCGCTGGAACCTGACGACCAGAGCGAAGACCCGGGTCGGCCAGAAGCTCTCGTCCAGTGAGTTGTTATTTGGTGGTATTGTTGTTTGTCTGTTCCCGTCTATTCACGGCTCTCACTCTGTGTTTGTGCTTTCTGTTCCTCCCATCCCGTATCCCAGACTGCGAGACTGAAGTCAAGAACTTCTGGACGTACGTGCGTCACTCCCGCCGGCAGTACAAGATCGACCTGCCGTGGATTCTAAACGCGGACCAGACGCCCCTCTGGCTCGAGATGCCATCCGAACGCACCGTTGAAGAGGTTGGCTCGCGCTCCGTGCCCGTCCGCAGCGGCGGCTACCAGAAAGAGCGGGTTACAGTGATGCTCGCCTGCACCGCCAGCGGGGAGAAGTTGAAGCCTTGGGTCTTCTTCAAAAGGAAGACCGTCCCCAAAGGAGATTTCCCTTCAGGTATGCACCACACGTCGATTACGCGGTGGCATGTCGATGTCAGTTAAAAAATTTAACTAACATCGTGGTTTTGTTGCTGTGCAGATATCCACGTGGGGGTCCATCCCAACGGGTGGATGGACGCGGACGGTGTCATCGAGTGGCTGGACGGGGCGGTGAAGCCGTACATCAACCCCAAGTTCGGAGTCCGGCCCCGCAAAGCTCTGCTCGTCCTCGATTCGTACCGCGGGCACCTGACCCCGGAGGTGAAGAAGAAGTTTGGCGAGCTGAACCTGGTCCCTGCGGTTATCCCTGCTGGCTGCACCTCGGAGATTCAACCCCTCGACGTCGCGGTTAACCGCTCCTTCAAGGCCGCCGTTCGCCAGCTCTACCAGGAGTGGTTTGAGCGTGAGGGGGTCGACACCTTGACGAAGAAAGGTGAGAGGTGCAGCTCTTCTGTTTATGTTTTTATTTCTTTAACCCGTGCTGACCCGGTTTCTGGATTTGCGTGGCAGGCAACA